AGTGGTCCTTGGTATGAAAAAGTTTGAGAAACACTGCGCTAGTGGATTGTCAAAGGGGGAGCCTCGTTGCGGGGAAATTATACAGATGGCTAGTCCGCCCCTGAAAATGTCTATGCAAACGTTATTATTAATAATAATTTAAAAAATATATATATTAAAAAAATGAATTTTTTTTTTTTTTTTCCATTTTAATTTTGTAATCATCTCGCGACCCCCACCCGGGTGGGGGCATTGTGGGGCAGCATTTTCTCCTCTCCTTTCGGTTAGGGAGGTCCAGTGGTTCCTAAGCTAAAGGAGGTTATAAAGGAAGTTTGAAACCTCCTTTCCTATCATTCTAGAGAATTCGAACGGCACTTATCATGGCTGCCACTGAGGGACTTCCGGGTCATTTCACTCGGTTAGGAAGGTTAAGCTAAATGTACTATTCGAACGCAACCCTAAATCCTTTTGAATACTCCTATCCACTATCCCTTAACCCCGTGACGTTTCACTCAGAGGTCAAGGAATAGGAGATAGGGTTAGAATTTAGGAGCTGATTTTAAACTATCCCAACGCAACCCTAGTGTTTAAGGGGGACCTGAATCACGTGACCATCATCAAGCTGCAGAAACGTCATGCAGTGCCAGTGAAACCAAATCACTATCACAAACAGCATTATAAAGCTTCACACCTTTTACAATTTGCAATACATATTCAGATATAGCCAGAAACGTCCAACCAGCCATCCGAGGCCAAATAGAAAGGCGTGTAAAGAAATGAACAATACATAGGCTACGTTTGCAAAAAGTAGAATGGTATCCAAAAATAATGATTTAATAAAATAAGGTTTATATTTTCACCATTATATATTTGTTCTAATCCAAGAGAGATCAAACGTTTATTAACTAAGGACAGTGTAACACAAGCGTATGGCCTACAAATCCCAAGGTGCATTGCGTCTATTACCATAGCAGCGGGAAGTTGGTTTATGTGTCCGTCATGGAGAATCAGAGCCGAGTTTTCGCTGAGATTCTACCGGCTGCTGCTCGGGAATTCGCCGTTAAGGAAAAGGAGCATGGCTTCGAAATGCGAGCAGTTAATAGCCAAAACACAGGCAACGTTAACCAGGCTCGGGAGATTCAGGTCACGGGAACAGCGGAGGTGTGTTGCCCGGCGGACCGAGTGTCTGTGCGGGTCAATGTGGCCAACAGCAAAGAGTCCGTCAACGAGGTGACCAACAGCATAACACGGAGACTTGAGTACATTTTACAAAGTGTCAGGTAAGAACATACAACATACAATTTAGACAGCAAACCGTAAGCTAGCTAGTAGCTAACGTATGGCTGTAACTCTTGTAATAACAACTTCAGCGGACTACTAAACAAAGTTGTTGAGTAGGAGACGTAGCAAAATGTGGCTAAAAGTATCGATTTCCCTCCGGAATATATCGAAAATAAGTATAAAGTGGCATAGAATTAAGTCGTGGAGTATTATCTATTTATTACTAGTTTTTTCACAGGTACAAGCATAGTTGGTAAGGCAAGAAGCTTGCAGTTCATATAGTATTTCGAATTCGTGTATGCTGTTAAAATGTAGATGTGATTGTGCTTTTGCTAATTTCACCATAACCTATATTGCAGTGAATATAATCAGTTGTTATTAATTCCTTCTGCTTAGACAACATGGTGTCAGTGAAAGAGACACCTCGGTGAGGAGGTTTCTCCACCGGGAGGCAGAACAGTATCACATGGAAGCAGAGGTGGAGTATTCAGATAAACACTAATGATCCAAATGTTGTTGATGTAACTGTCACTGACACTACATGTGTTTTGTTCCCACAGGTCAAGGTTACTTTCTCCGATTTTGATAAGATGGAGCGAGTGTGTAGCGTCCTGCTGGAGAAGCTGGACAAGAGTGTTTGTGTGGGAACGCCACATTTCTTCCACAGTGCTGAAAGCCTGAGTCAAATGAGGTATACAACACACACATTTTATCAGCAGTTTAATATCTTTACAGACTACTTGTAAGTGGTGTGTTTGTCTGTTCTCTAGGCGGCGAGCGTGTGTGTCAGCGGTTGAAAATGCTCAGCAGAAGGCCTGCGAGGTCAGTCAGCTCCTGGGGCAAACTCTGGGACCCCCCCGTCAGGTCAGGGAGGAGGAGACAAGGGAGTGGAGGAGTGAGGATGAGGAAAATGGAGGCAGATGCCGGGATTCTGCACCCCTTCCTCACATTCCCAATATCAGAGCCTCCTCACGGGTGTCTGTCTCCTTCAGCCTCAGAGACAGGAGCAGGAAAAAACTCTAAACACAATCATTTCCCTGACTCATGAAAGCAAAGAGAGGATCGTCACAGTTTGAAGTATTTTTTATTGCTAAAGTGCAGTTTTTTTAAAGGTGGTTTTTCCTTCCTCAGCCAACACTGTCTTGTAAACATTTTATTTTTTTAACCATCCTTTTAAGCATTTGCTGTAATTTAAAATCAGTTGAACATTAAATGAAATGTTGGTAATCATCATTTGTTTTGACACATCAAATGAAAACACTTTGTATTTGTACATCTCAAAGAAATAAAAAGGTCAATTACATTTCAAAAGACACCCTCACATCAAGATCAGGCCAGGAGGGACTCTAAAATGATCCTCATTTTGCTCAAACGTTGCACTTACTTCAGCAATGATTGACTGACTCAAGTAGATATCTTGGAGAAAAAAAAGAACTCGAAAACTGATAGAGGTTTCCCGAACACCTTGGTACAAACAGGAAGTGTAGCTAGCATTAAACCGTGGCTAGGAAGCGATAGCCACCAATCCTCTGTTGTTTTTAGCATTGCTAACATTGTCACCTCTTTGATCCCACATGCAGTTGAGCAGTCATTTGTCCTCCTTCTCGTCCTCTGGAAACATCTCGCTGAGCCAGGGCTGCATGACGAACCGCTCCCCGTCAAAATGTGAGAAGTAGTTTTCCAAGGTGGGAATCTCCGGCTAGAAACATCCGAGAGTGAGTCAACACGTATGTAAAAGTGTGTGATCGTGGGTGTTGATGTGCTGTGCTTTTCCAGTACATACCATTGTCCCAGTGAAGCGCATCAGCTGTGTTTGAGGCAAGTATGCTACCAACAGAGAGGAGGATCCAGGCCCGCTGAACAGCACTTTATAATGAGGCGTATTCTCTGCTTTGGGGACCTGCATGCACATATATACAAATAGTGACAATTATACTTTCCAACAATTATATAAATAAGTCCAGAATTGATCAGGAAGGAAAGGATTTTCAAAGAGCTGCTAACCTCAGAGTTTGAATACACTTTGTCCACCCATTCTTGAGGGGCTCGCAGCTCAGAGTCCCAGCTCACCACCACCCCCACCATGTGGCCCTTACTCTCCATCACCACGTCTCCAACACGCAGGAACACATATGGAGGACGAGGGCTGCGCACTTTCTTTGAGGCTGCAGAGTTAAAGAACAAGAAGAAAATCCTGTGATGCAGTTTTAGCACATTTCACTTTTTTCACAGTAACTTTTCCCTGAACAGTGGAGCACAAACATCAATCAACTCATTTGCTTGCAACAGGCTCCAGATGATTTACCTTAAAAAAAGGTGCACTGATTAAAGCCTTCAAAATATAAAGTAGACACACACCTCCAAAGAATTCCAGGTCATTGTCTAAAAGCATGGTCTCTATGGGGCGCGAGTCTTTTAACTCTTCCTCTTCCAATCCGACTAAAGACCTTCAGGAAGCAAAACATATTGTTAGTATGCACATTAACAAGAGTATCCTGTTCGTTTGTTTCTCTATTGCAACAAAGATGTAACTTTAGAAGATGCAATTGAACATCACTTGTCATAGCATGTCTTAGTCTCAATCAAATTGTTTACAACAAAATTGGCTTTGTGAATGTATTTAGGTATTTTCTGTGTATTTATCTTTGTTTTATGTGTCAAGTTGTCAAAAGCTTTTAGTTCATATTGCATTCTCTTATGTGTATGCCATGTGTTATGTTTATATTAAAGCAATGCCTTAGTCTGTTTGAAAGGTGTTTTATAAATAAAGTCTATGATTATTACAATCACAGTCCCATTTGATTACAAAATATCCAACACTCACTTGGCTCTGGACATCTGCTGGTCTGCCCAGTCCATCCAAGCCGTGCCATTGAGGTAAGATGTTCTCAAATCTTTCCAAATTCTAAGCAACCTGAAACAACATGATTATTATAGACACAAACACTGAAAAGGTAATATTTGGATGCAGTAGTCTTACCATATTTATTACTAGTGACTATACTTTACACATAAACAAGCTTTGTTTAATTTCCCAACACCACATACTTTTTCTGCCCAATACAAAGTTGATAACACCCTGGAACACTGACGCAGTCTTGGATGGATCCTACCGTGCGCTCGCGTGGTAGCGCTGCGTCACCGTGGTGCCGCTCCAGCGCGAGATGAGGTACTGCGCGGGCACAGCGGAGAGCAGCAGCACGAGCTGCAGCACCGCGGGGCGCGTGAGCTGAGGCATGGCCGCGCAGCTGGGTGTCACCGCCTGGACACGGAAACGCGAGTCAGGTGGATGTGGCACGTAGGCTATTGGACCCCAAATCAGTCCAGAGTTGACGTGTAAGCCATGTCTTTAACAGAAAACACACCAAAAACATTTCTATACTGTAACAGACATGTTCTGTGTGTTTGTAATTGGCGGGCATTTGGTTCAACTTCGAATAGGCTACAGTGAAACCTCCATAAACAAGATATGGCACTGCAGAAACCTCGAGGAAATGCATGTACTTGTCAAAAGTTGCTGATAAGAGCAGTTATCACGCCTACCTTGAATTAAAATCCAGTCTTTTCTCCAACTAGCCTATCTGCCACACATTGCGTCAAAGAGAGGCTGTTTGCGCCTTGAAACAGTGACAGGCTTTCAGTTCTCCTTTATTTACATAAGCTCTCGCCCATGCCGTTGTTACCACCTGCGTGTATTTACATTTATCGTCAATATCGCCAAACAAGTAGTTTGTCCAATCGCAGCAGCCCACGGAGGGACCGGCGGTCCTCTAGCGGCTCGCCACGTCAGGAGGAGCCGAATCAGAGAGGCGTGAGCTGCGGGCGGGAACTGGTTCGTCCCGTAGTTTCGCTTCAAAACCATCATGGGCCTTTCTCATGTCACTAATTTCCCCTCCTCGACTCCTATCCTCGTGTCTTAGTCCCACCCACAGGAGATGCAAGCGGAGGAGCCGAGGAGAGAGGAGGGGAAGCAGAAGCCGGTTAGAGAAATGAGAAATCCTCTCCTCTGAGCGGTCATTTTAAAGAGAAGTCCATTAATGATGACAGGAGGCACAGCCCTCTGTCTGATGGACAGAACTGTGTTCATGATGACTTATTTACTTTTTAATTCATTCACAGTGCGGTAGTGAGACAATAACAGGCTACAGATGCAGACATACACACACATATATATATATTTATATAAATATATACAATTTCAGAATCAAATGAGAGCACTCACAGCCAGGGCCGTATCCAGGATTTGCTAAATACAGAGGTCCAAACATGCTAGGGGGGTTCGGGATTTTTGGGATTTTCATGTTCTAGTTAGGTGCTTTTTAAGTCCTGTGGGGGGTCACAAATTGGATAATATATTGATTTCAAACCATGTCAGTGGGCTGCAGCATCAATTATTTTTTAGTGTAATGCATAACAATCAGTTGATTGTTACTATTATGATCTGGACATGCAGAAGAGGCTAAAATGATCAAAAAAAATTGTCAACATTAATTTCCATCTTCTTTAGTCTCTCTGTCTTCTTCCTGTTCATTACTCTCTCTGTCCTCTACTCTTTCTCTTTGTTCAATCTCTCCCTCGTTGTTCACCTTTTGCTCCTCCTCACTTGTCGGAAAATGTAAGGCGGGGCCTCTCATATGACGCACACCTGCACACTTGCTAGCCTGTTCCACTCTTCGTTTTCCGAATGCCAGGAAGGATTCTTGCCTAGCTTCTGAAGGAAGTGACTCGGAAGACATGTGCTACCAAGCAAGCATCTTCGCGATTGAGAAACGATCTCGAGGATTCTGGCTTCCAAGACAATATTTCAAGGATGTTACGTCATCGAGTGCCGCCGAAGGACTGTTCCAATCTCCAGCATACTTGGAATTCCACCGAGGCCGCGTCCTTGGTTTGGGGGAAATTTCGAGGCTACACATGGGTAGACTTCACGTCCTTAAAATCCCCACAATGCTTTGCGCACGGACCAATTTCAAAAACCCTTGCGGAGAATGGCTGAACCGACGCAGCACACATTTAAATGTAAGTATGTAGTGGCGTAGAACATGTGTTGGTAAATATGTTACTTTGTTACATTTGTTTGTTATCACCAAAAATGTGGTCCGTAAAAGTAAAGCAAGTTAATAATTAGATAGACATCGTGAGGTATTTATTTTCGGTACAGTTTATGTTGAAACCGTTAGAGTGGCACACTTGTTAGCCTGTTCCATTCTTCTTCGTTTTCCGAAGCCGTGGCCTGGAAGCATACTTGCTCCGTTTCTGAAGGAAGTGACTTGGTAGTACGCGACTACCAAGCCAGCATCCTCGGGATTGAGAAACACCTCGGTTAGAGCTCCTCCAGAGAGCCTCCTCGACGCTCAATCATGCGCTCAATCCTCTGTCCTGCATTTAGAAAAATTAGATGTCCTTCAACATGGTGCACCGACAACCATTTCCCAGTCACTACCGGAGGACAGAGGATTCGAAATTAGAGGAATAAGAAAGGCCACATGAGGTGAGAGTTGTGTATGCGACATAATTAACTGATCTTTAAGCCTTGTATAGTTTTACTTTAGAGAGAAGAACAAAGCAGAAATAAAAAACCCACATATGCTTTTATTGAGAAAAATACCCAATAAACGTGAAGCCTTAATGTGGAGAATAATTTGAGTTTTGGTAGAATAAAAAAATCTGTCAGGGAAATAAATAACACAATCAACAACATGGAGGAAAAATTTATATGGAAACACAACTGTTTATTTACTTAAAATATTGGTATGAACTAACAGGACAGCAGTACTTCCCTACACATACATTCTAGCTTTAAAATGCTTATTTTTTTTGCATTAAATTATTTTATATATAAAAGTATCCAAACTAACAAAGACATCCTCTTTGACCCGTTCACGTGAAACTGACGCCCCCTTTTCCCCCTTCCCGTCCCACATCCCCATAAAAACGTAATAAAACATCCCAAAAAGCTTCCTCATCATGGCTCACATGCAGCCACTTCACACACCCTCTGTGACCTTTGACCTCTGACCAAACTATTATCCAATCAGAGGCC